TGCTGGGAGCGTCAGTGCTGCTGGGAGCGTCAGTGCTGCTGGGAGCGTCAGTGGTGCTGGGAGCGTCAGTGCTGCTGGGAGCGTCAGTGCTGCTAGGAGCGTCAGTGCTGCTGGGAGCGTCAGTGCTGGGAGCGTCAGTGCTGGAGGTGTCTGGAGCCTCAGTTGCAGGCTCATCAGGATCATGGTCAGGGTCGTTCTCCGCGTTCACGATGTCGTCGTAGTGATCGTCGTTTCGGTCCATCCCGTTCTCACCAAAGTAATGCTTGTACTCTGCCTCCGACACCTCTCCGTCGTCATTCCTGTCAACGAGATCGAAGCGCTCGTCTCCCGCCTCTCCGGGGCCGTCTCCGCTGTGTCCAAAAATCCCACTCTCAATATGCTCCCCCCAACTAAAACTGTTCGGAGTAAAAACCTCGTCGGGTTGGAGTTTTCCGTCGTGGTTGTCGTCCAACTTGTCGAAGGGTACTGACCCCACCCCCTGTGGGTCTTTGCCGAGAGCAAAGACACCCTGGCCGGCGGCGATTCCGGGCGCATTTTCCGGCAAAACGTTTTCATCCACATCTCCGCCGGTTTCCTGCTCGTACCCGCTGCGCACCGTGTCCTGCCAGAAGTCAAAACCCTTGTCCGGCGGCGGGTCCGCGAACGCCGGAAACATGTCGTCCTTCTTGTCGATCCCGTCCGGTCCGAAAACTTCGTTTAGTTCTTGCTTGGTAACTATCACGGGCAAATGTGTCTGGGTCTGGAAAAATAAATGCAAGATCTGCGATGCATCTTGCGGACGACATGCATGGTCTGAAATGCACACAGAAGCATCACAGATTTTGCGACACCTTCCTCATGCCTATGCCACATGACAAATGCGCCTTTCGCCAACTAAAAAGTTGGTAGCTTTAGGCGATCACGCAATACAGATTTTCTTGCGATCGAGATTTGTTCGCATGACAAGCTGCCACCTTCCAGACCCAGGCATATTTGCAATGCATAGTAACGAGCCCGTCGTGGTTTTCATCCACTAGGTTGAACCGCTTCTGGATCACTTCTGGATCCGTTTGGGCGTTTCCGAAAATCGTCGGCGGCGGGCCACCGGCGGGCGCGGACCGGGTCGCCTCCTCGATGGAGATGGCAGGCACGGCTTCCTTGCCATCTCCCGCGATGTCATTCTTGTCTATGGCGTGCATCTCGTCAAACGTGACATGGCCGTCCGAGACCTTGTGATCGTGTCCTTGCACAACGAGACCCCATGTAGCCTTCTGATGCTCTGTCAGATCCGGAGGCGTATGCACTGCAAAAGTGTCTGGGTCTGGAAGTTTGGAACTTGTGATGCTACCCTTGGACTCTGCATAAAATCTGTATAGCATGAACAGCAAAGGAGGCGCGATCTGTGCCACACGGAGAGGGCATTTCTCATGCGTCATGAGCATCAGAAAGCCCTCGCAGAATTTCTGATGCTAGGGCACGCATCACAGACCTCATGGGTCATGCAAAATCTGCATGACAAACTCTTGCATTCTTCCAGACCCAGACATTTCTACATTTGATAAGGCGACATCTCGCCGTCGTCTTGATTAGACGGAAGCGGCATCCTATGCAAGAAAAAAAGGAGCGCCAGTACACTCATACATTTTTATGACATTTCGGCAAGAACTTCTCAAACTTGCTCTGCATGAGCATGATCTGCAACGCAGGGACGATATGAATATGGCAAGAAAACGTCGTCGCACATCGGGAAACATGGGGGGGGGAGCAGGCTCCGCCCAAGCATTTCCGGCATGAGATAGAGTTTGTCCTCTGTCCTGCTTGTGCTTGCCTTGTAGCGCAACATCACAATGTGTACCTGCAACACGACTTTTTTCTTTGCATACATGTCCCCCGGGTTGTCGTTGTCCCCGCCTGACCCAAACGGGTATGGAACTGTCAGGATTGAAATTAACAGAGTTGAAATAGTTTGTGATGCATAAAATCTATACCAGTTGGGCCCACAGTTTCCAATCGACGCACGACAAATTTTCCTGGTCTCTGAAGCAAGTCTGTCATGCTGTTGAGGGCAAGATGGCTGCTCCCTGTCATGCTAGTCAGCCGCCCAATTCTTGACCCTTACCAGCACTAGAATCTGCCTCCCGCCTTGCGCCTTCTGCAATAGAGTCACGTCAGTCTTTGTGTCGCAGTTTATGCATGACAAATCATTTCAAATTTGTCGATTTCGAACCTGACACATCCATAACGGGGGGTCGAGTTTTATGACAACATCGCCGCGCCGGTTCACATCATAGTTCTCGTTATCGACCTGCACCTGGCCTGATGGGTTGTCATTCGGTTCAGCGAGGTCGCCGGTCCGGTCCTCCAGAGTATCCAGGTGAATTTCCCCCGGTTTGTGATCCGACCCCTCCAGCTTGACGAGCTTGTCCCAGAGGGCGGGACTCCCCTTGAACTCGTCCTTTTGTAACACGCCGTCGGCTATCAAATGCAAATATGGGGTCTGGGTCTGGAAGAATGCATTTTTTTGTCATGCAACTTTTCGAAGACACAAGAAATAATGGTCTCTGATGCACGTAAAGCATTACAGGTTTTGCGCTGGCCTCTTGATGCCTATTCCGCATGAGTAATTTCCTATTTGCGTAGCAACAAGCGGACAGCTTTTCCTTTTGGTGCTCATGCAATACAAATTTTTGCCTATTCATATTCTATAATCCGTAGGACAAGTTCGAATTCTGCCAGAACCTTCAGACATTTTTGCAATGCATATCGCCGTAGTAGGGTCCGTTTGCGTAGTAGGATCCCTTAGCCTTTCCTTCCATGACCGCTTCAGCCTGGTCCACGCGATTCAGATCATCCGGAATGTTATACATATGCAAAATCAATCGTTCGCTAGTACTAGTGATTACATCTGCATCACAAATATTCTCACAAATAAGGTAATGCTGTTCAACAACTGTTTGACTTTGTCTTTGATGCAATATTGGAATTTGTACGACGAGTTCGATAGTTTTACAATGGATAAGTACATGTCGACTTCATTGTCATCCCCAGCAATTTCGTCGTTCATGTGCATCTCCAGTTTCGCCTGCAGATCTTCTGCGGGGTTCTCGCCTCCGCGCAATCCCCCCTGTTGCGTACTCGTCTCGGTTCCGCTTTCGAAGTCGTCGGGATACTGAATGGAGTCCAGCTCGGCTTTGGTAATGATAGGGTGTTTATCAACTGTAAAAGTGTCTGGGTTTGGAAGATTGCCGGCTTTGTCATGCACATTTTGCATGACTCCTCAAGTCTGTGACGCATGCCCTAGCATCACATATTTTTAGAGGGCTTCCTGATGCCTATTCCGCATGACAAATGCTCTCTCCGTACTGAAAAATTTGGACTCTCTTTGCTGCTCATGCAATACAGATTTTTTTGGAATCCAAATTCAGCATCACAAGTTGCATTCTTCCAGACCCAGACATTTTTACATTTGATAGTGTTCCTTCGTGTGATAGTCCGCGTTGTACTTTTCCGCCGGGTATGGAAGTGTCAGGATCGAAATCAACAAAATCGAAATAATTTGCGATGCGTAAAATGTAGGGCACTGAAGGCCTGTGTTGGGGAGTAGGCAAATGAGACCGATTGTGAGCCTGTTTAGGGGTATAAAATGTGCTGCCAGAGTAGCATGACAGGAGGAGTCTTCTTTGCCCAAACTGCATGACAGACTGGATTTGGGTGCGCCCGAAATTTGTCATGCGCCACTGGGAAACTGAGGCTCCAACAGACATCGATTTTGTGCATCGCAAATTTTTCGATTTTGTCAATTTCGATTCTGACACTTCCATACCGGGTGTATCCTGTGTAAAAACTTCTACGGGGCCTACGCCCTCGAACCAAGATTGGAATTACTGAACAACCCACGTAAATCCAGAAGCTTTGGAAGGTGAGTCACGCATGACAGCACGAAATTTATTCGCAGTGTTCTCGCTGCAGTGTAGTGTACTTACTAGAGTAGCTGCGAGTACATCATCTTCCGCATTGCAGAGCCATCTTCTAATCCTGGTGTTTACGGTATCTTCACAAATCCCGAAACACAACGGGTGGAATTATGGCATTTCATCATCAGATGCGCTGCATGTCAACAAACCTTTATTCTGTAGAAGTAGGGGCAAATAACGCAAATCTCCACTATACAATTGATTCTGGGCCGCGGCGGGTGTAGCCGTTTTCTACACAGGATAGGGTTCCAGGTTTCATCATGCCAGGGTACGTCGCCATGCGCTGCGTATGAGAGTGCAAAAACTCGTCTCTGTCCACTTCCTTTCTTGTCATGCAAAACGCCAAATCCACACCCAACCGGGCCTTTTGACCACGTGCGCATGACAAGATTCCGACGTGGCCAAAAGCGCCCTTCCGTCTGGACCACGTCGATTTGTGTTCATGCAAAAGCTCCATCCTTCAACGAGCTGCTCTCGTTGGTAGAAATGGCCTTCAAACCAGGAGCAGAGCGAGGAGTAGTTGTCCGCTATCATACTGCTGTGTTTGGATCCAAATCTTGTCCGTGGATCTCCTGTATCAACTGCAAATAACTCGTCTGGGTGTGGAACTTATTGTGCCGCTTGTCGAGCCCTTGTTGCATTCCTGTAAATTACTCTGTACTGCATGTTGACTGAACAACAAGACCGCAGCCACTTTAGCTTCACCTGTCTTGTTTCATCAGAAAGAAAAACGCATAAAAAGCGCTAGCGCTACTGACGGCGCGACGAGAGCCTTCTAAAACTTCATCTCACGCTTGGCTGCGCTGTCTTCAACTCCTGCTGAAACTGTTTACTGATCCACAATGCTGCAGCACAACAAGTTTCCAGACCTCCCAGACGTAGCTGCAATGGATATCCTGGTCTATTTTCAAATCGTCATTGATCATGTTTTATCGAGTGCACAAGTATTGTACTAGTCGTCCCACTTACTGTCTTCACGCATGACAGATCCCCCTTCTACAAAGCAAAGCCATCAAGTTAAAAATGCAGATTTCATTTTGCAACCCTGAGAGAAAATTTCCAATTGCAATTCCGACTTCTACTTCATATACGATAGCGATACTTTTGCAATGCATATGTCCTGCAAGGCAGCCTGCTGCAGCGGATTCATTTTCGCTGGGTCGATCGGCGGATCGTGGTCCGGGTCGAAGGCACCGGGAGGAAATTGCTCCGCCACCTTGTCTATAAACTGCAAATATGACTGGGTCTGGAACCTTGTGAGGACGCTGGGCTGCGTATTATGAGGGGGGCAAATCAAGTGCTGCCTCAGCGCGACAAGTTTCTGAGCTTCTGGGTGTTCTTGCCTGTTCTGCATGACAAACTGCGTTTCTGCATGACAGAAAAATGGGCTGGGGCTCTTGGGTAATGTGCATGACAGATTTAAGAATCACACCAGACAAGCATGACGAACATGCATTCTTCCAGACCCAGACATATTTGCAATGGATATTGTCCATATACTGGTCTTTCTGCATCTCATGAATCGCCTCTTTCGTGATGCCATGTGGAAACTTCTCTTCAAATTCTTGTTGAGTGACCTGCCACTTGCTGTCGTTTGCATTTTCACCGTTGTCTCCATCGTCGAACCACGCCACAAGATCCTCGTGCGCACCATCTTCATCACCCGTGAGGCGGAGCGCAAGCTCGGATGGCTCAGTCGTGTCACTGAAGCCCCCTGCTGTGAGCTCGTCAAAGTCTATTCTGCCATCAGAAGCCTCGATTTGTTGCATTATGTGATTCATTACGTCCGGATTGTCAAAAGGAAAATCGCCATCGTCTTTCTGTTTCATTTCTTGGCTGACTTTTTTGGTTTTCCGCGTGCTCAGACGACGGTTTTGCTTTCTTGCTGTGCTGCGTGCTGTAGCCATTTTCCGCCGCCCCTGTTTGTAGTTCTTCTGGCTTTCTCCATTTTCGAGCGCGCTACTCGGACCAGAATTTGCAGCTGGACGAAGATATACTTTATCATCATCCACACGACCACCCGAAGTAGAAGAGGAGGTGTCTACTTTACGGAACTCGTCACTTGCTGCAGCTGATGAACTACTACTTCCGGCACCAGCAGCAGAAGGAGCGCTCTTACTGCTCGACCCAAGAAACAGAAAGCGTTGGAAGAAATCTCCCAGCCGATCTTTCCAGGATGAGGAAGAAGCAGCTCCTTTTGTTGTTTCATCTCGATCTCGACGACGCTTCTTGTTTTTCCGCTTCCACCGACGCTAAAAATACCCGGACTTGCTGAGCTTCTCATTCAGTATCTGCAGCTGTTTTTCCGCTTCTTTTTCCTGCTTGTTCCCCAGTTCCAAGACCGCGGAGCCACCTTCGGTGGAGAGATCTTCCGTAGTTGCCGTCGGGGTCGTTGCCGTCGGGGTCGTTGCCGTCGGGGTCGTTGCCGTCGGGGTCGTTGCCGTCGG